GGATGTGTAATACATGAGAAACGTACATTAGTGTCTGACAACGTGTGTTTACGCGACCACGGTGGTATGGATTTGGATAGTCTTTTGGCAGATCTAAGAGATCTTTCCACTCTTTCAGGAGGATAATGCTATCGAAAGCCATACGAAGGCTGTAAATGTCTTTCGATAACGTCCTCAAACCGTTGGTGTCACGGACCTTTTGAATGGCTAACTAGCATGGCAACGCACTTTGAATAGACACACTGGTTCCGTGAGAGCAAGGGTATTCATGATAAGGGAATATCGACAACAGACCTCCCAGCATTTGATCCAATGACAGCTTTCATAGAGCCAACATATGTGAGCGATTTCTATACCATGTTATGCCGTGACACGCCATATTGCGGATAGAAATCACTTCCTAGCCTTCTATTTTCAAAGTCAGCTTCCAGCCCCTACCCGTCCACTTCTAACGAAAACATATCCAAATTGACAACGGAACTGTAAAGATGACGGAGGGCGGGTCACCGTAGGTTCGTCCTTGCAATTCCGCTTATCAAGGTTCGAGAAGCGGTGTCATCTAACACGGTGGATGTAGAGGCGAACAATCTTGCCATACCATCTTTGGATGCAAAACTTCGCGGACACAAGATGGACTTGAGTCCCGCCACCGTTATGGTAGGGCTGGCCATCCATAATGTTGGAACCCTGTCTGAAGAGAAAGAAAGAAAGAAAGACTAAATCAATGCTTCGATGCTGCAATCGTGCAACAGAGTGGGTCATTCAAAGTCTCAGATAAAACCACAAAAGCTTCTTTTGCTATATTTTAATCTCCCCAAAGACGATGGATGGCATGCTGAAGCAAAACAGGAGCGTTGCTGACCGCTTCTAATGACCTCATAGCTAGATACGCATAGCTATTCGACATTTCCTGTGCCCGTTTGTATCTATATCTCGCAGGAAAATAATGAGAGATAAGGCGTCAAAGCGTGAAGCTTTCAGAAATATCCTGCGATTAAGGAGCAATTGTGCAGAAATTAAAGGAAAGGCCAAGCTACCTCATCCTGCCGTTTCCAGTTCTAGCTTTGTGTCTGTGAAATCGATCGATCGACGGCCCTGAAGAGCGGCCCCGCAACCCGATAGTCCAGGAGAGCCTTGAGATATGAGTATAATATAGTCGAAGCAGAGGAAATGAACTACAATACAGGGGGAAAATGCGGACAAAGAGAGGAGTCCTCCACCTCTCTCAATCAGCTTCTCCTTCTCATTGTTAACGCCATCGACCCTCCCTCTAGTGAAGGACAATATGTTCCCATTATGGATACAGATTCACAGCTTCTGTGCATATATATCTTTATGCCGTCTCACCCCGGGGAACGCACATACGTACATTCCTTCCATACACACTTCTTCCTCCATCCAGCATAAAAATGCGACAAATTAATTTCCGCCTTTTGCTTTTTGACGTGGGTGGCATATTTAACCTTATTTTGACAGCAAGCAGCATGCTCTGAGCCTTCGCCCTGTTAACCGCAACCCACCTTCTCCATCCCAAAAAGAAGGAGAAAGAAAGAAAAACGATGCCTCATGCGTTCATTGGTTGGCTGCATTATGTACCCGGCATATGCCTAAAGGGAGGATGTATGTTAAAAGGACGGTGTGTTTGAAAATACAAAATTTTGCTTTCCATTTCTATGAGATTCATGCCGAATCAACTTCGAAGCAGCTATGTGTTGGAAGAGAAATTCGTTTGCACATTGAGATGGACTTGTATGCGAATGCTTGGCTACATTGGCGACATTACTGCTCGTCTGGATGTCCACGGGGACTCAACGCAGATTTACGTCAATGTAAGTGGTTGGATGAGCGAAAAGGTTAACAGTTAAATCTGGGAAGAAAAAAGAAGAAAGGCAACGGCGCAGTCCATGCATGCGTTCATATTTTCTTCAAATAAGGGAGGGGAACAGTAGGTGCGACGACGCATTTGGTAAGGTGAATATGGCCGCATAGGGTCCCTCAACCCCTTTAAGGTTCCAATCAACATCCCTAGAAAAAAGGGGCTTTGGGAGCTAGTATCTCGACCTCGCATCAGCCATTCATGTGAGAGGTCCGATAAATGTATTCTTCGTTGACAGGAATGGAAATACATGCTAAGGTGCAGGGAGAAGATAAACACAGTATGAAATATTCCGAGATATCAAAGAGAAAAACAAGTGAGTGCCAAAGAGAACGAAGGGCACTTGGCCGACCCAATAGTTGTCCAGAACAGATAATAGGCTAGATGTGATCTTCACTTGAGATCACAAGCTCTAATTAACCTTTCGCCTTGGTTTAAAAAGACCGCCGGAAAGTGATAAGGTCAGACTAAGATATTCCCGCAGCGAATGCGAATCGATAATCTGATACTCGTCAGGACCTTGGAAAATAACTGTGGTGGCTGAGGGTTGAAACGAATTTTGTGCCTGTATACGGAGCAGCGAATGTCAACTTGGGGGAACGGAACCGAATGATGACGATGCTTTGCTGCTCATGATTCGGAACTTCTGTTTCATACGCCGGTTGGGGATGACCACCCTTAATTTCTTGTCAGAAGGGAAAGCACCACATGGCATTAAGGCATGATTATGATGATGACAGATGCTGGTCAACCAGTCGTTGAGCTTGGTTTTCCTACCAACTCCGCCTGTCACTGACGATGTAGAAGGACAGGTTCTGGTTGAAGGGAGGTGGGCAGCAGGCAGCGAGAGAGAGATGCGAATGCTGTCCACCTTAGCGCTGGCACTTAATTGCGGATCTCGTTTATGCTGCCCCACCACCAACCCACCTCCAACCCCGCGTTGAATGATATAACGGTTGATCTCATATAAGCACAAGAAAACCACATTGGTGGATTTCAATATGCGTCCATCGGAAACTTGAGGAGTCCTGTGACTCGCAGCAGAGCCCTAGGTAGCCAGCTCCATCCCATCCACATCAACGACTTCGAAATTATGATAAGGATACATACATACACTTACTTTCCCAATAAATACTTCCTCGATTCAAAACTGGGCGAAATGGTTAATGACCCAGCATATCAGCAAGCAAGCAAGCGAACTATTTTATTACTTTAGCCCCCCTCCTCCCCTCTTTTGCGTTGCTCCATAGTTACCCTCCCTCCCCAACATGGTGCTAGGATATCCCAAAGGGAAGATAGTGGGGAAAATAGAGCGGAAATCAGAGTATGTCCGAGGAGCGTGTAACGAGTCAGAGTCAGTCTGACTGGGTCATCATTTTCGCTTTCTTATTTTTATTTTAGTTGGCAGGAAAATGATCGATCATCCCAGTTAAATAGCTGGTTCTGTTGACAATGCATTGATCAAACACGCGCACTGACCGAAGCTAGTGGGACACTGTGTTTAAGTGAGCGAACTGCTTTGGGTTGATCAAGTGTTATTTGTATGAAGCTTGTAATAGTAACCTAACTAGGGCAAGGTTGAGAGAGATGGGCATTCCTTCAATCCCATAATTTGTTGGGCGGATGAGATCTTCATGTTTAGCTGTCGGATGTAGCCGTGTTCATCTTGTGCCATCTCGTGGAGGCTTCCAAGGTTGATGATGCAAGGAGTTACCAACCTAGAGCGATGACGACTTTCTGAACTGAAGGCCTGGTTCTGCAAAAGGTGTTATGTTAGCGAAGGTAAGGTGGCTGAATATTCGGACGATTTGTATTTTTAATTTTGACATGATTATTTTTCTACCTTTTGTCTCTCCTTTCTTTTCTGACTCGATTAAAAAGTTCTTCTTTATGCGGTAACTTTTAATGTGGGCCATTATTAGCCGTTTGCCAAAGGCTTACTCGATGCAGTCACCCTTCTCAACAGGGAACATATATATCTGTCTATTGTTTTTGGCCCGGTGAAAGGTTGATTTTCCTGATTTCGCTCATATTTGCTTGGGGAGAGAAAGAAACGAACAAGGTTATTCGGAGCAAGGAATAAAAAAAATCTGAGCTCCTAGGCCAAGTCAAAACATAATTCTTAAATATTCGACACCGCCTACCAGCTTACATACATGGCTTCACTCTACGTGACGTCAACGGCAACAAGGAGATGATATGTGAGATAAGCAAATGCCCCCCGTTTATTAATATTTTGGTTGATGGCTCTGCTTGTGTGGTTTCAAGGCCAACCAAGCGGCGACCTTGTTTTAATAGACATTTATTTCTCTCGTTTTGGGAGGACATGGTTGTTTTCCTGGGAGCAAGTAAAATCGATAGATTTCGGGGAAATGATCATTGTAACTTAGCCAAACAAAGGTTGAAGATAGTATGAAACGCAGATTTTGAACCACTAGATTTCAATCCTTGATCGAACCTAGGGCATCACCTCCGGTGATCTTTGTTAGTTGGGTTCGGGTCGAGTATCCACGTAATCCGGAGGGCCTATTGTTTACTAACGCTCCTTTTAAGCACTTTTATAAGCGTTTGATTTTCTGGGTTTTGCGCATCGCTTCAATGTTAAGGCTGGTCACGAAAAGAGGGTTTTTGGATGTAGTCGTAGCTAATAGTAGTTATCTCCACAATAAAAAAATGCCACAAATAAACCCATAATGAAAGGGTGAAAGCAAAAAATAAAAGTAAAAAGTAAAACTTCCACCGACAGGTCAATTATTCACAGAACGGTTGTCGTTCGATGTTGAAGATAAATATTGATATCCATGAACTGGTTTATTCACTATGAATCTTGTGATGAACCCGAGCTCGATGCTGGCAATACTCAATCTGTCGAGTGGCAGTTAGCCTCATCCGGAAAAGTATTCGAAGCAACGAAGCAAGTTCACTACGGGGCGCTTCAACGAATGGAATGAGGATGGTATTGGCACGGGTTGCAAGGTCCAAGGACCCAGGAGTCAGTCGTATGTGAGGCCCCGCTGAATCCTAGGCCAATCCTTTTCCCCATCCAGACCCAGCCTCGTTTATGCGACAGAAATGACCGTGGGTATTTGTGGTAGATCGCGTGTCCCTAAGCACTCTCGCTGATTCAGACCGGTTGTTGAGAGTTGTGGAAAGTACCGTGTGGCAGAGAACTGGCTGACGAGGTACAGGGGGAGGTACGAGTAAGGTAGTAGACGAGGTGAGCACGGCGCCATGCACGCTGCAGGCTGGCCTGGCTGGGGGGGCACTGGGGCTTGGGACTTGGGGTTGGGGGTTGGGGGTTGGGGTTGGGGGCGTGGGCCCAAGACTGCAGCGGGCAGGCGGGCAAGCGCTGGCTGGGGGCTGGGCGCTGCAGCCACGGCCCAAGCACCGGCGGGCGCTCATGGGGGCGTGGGCCAACCAGAGCGCGGGCTGGCTCACCGCTGCTTTGGCTCCCCACAGTCAAGTAAAGCACACGGCCCCTCGTGTCCAACGCCAATCCCATCTTCGCTCTCCCCTGTGCTCAACCAGGGAGTGAGTGGCCCACCATCCCCTTCTCCACTCGCATCTCGCTCCTCGCCAATCTGACACCTCACCTCCTAGGACACTTTCTCTCCGTCCTCGATCCTCTCATCTTCTATTCTCTCTTCTCCGCTCCTCTCCTTCTCCTCTCCTCCCCTCCTCTCCTTCCCTATCACAAACTGACATAAACTCTCTCACCGCACTACACTCTTGCAAGCTCTATAAGTAATCATCAGCTCCTACCAATAGAACTCCCTCCCAAACCCCTCGTATATCATTGATACCACCCGGTCCACAATGGGAGATGTAGATTTGACTGGCAATGGCATCGTCAGCCTCGATTATGACTCTCGGGGTTACATGTCTGCCCAGACTTGGTCCGTGACGGTGGACCATCGACCGACTCAGCAGCACCACCATCACCATCACCAGCACCATCACCAGCAGCAGCAGATGCACCCGCACCAGCATCAACACAACCACAATCACCACCGTTCCGATGGCAGTAGAGATATCTCACCCTTACAAACCAGCGGTCACGGCTTCGACACTACCACCATAGCTCATGACCCTAATTTTTTCAGCGACTGGCAGTTTCAAAATATACCGGCCCACCGCCTCCGGTATTCACAACCTGAGACCTCGTCTGCTTCCCAGTTCAGCTCCAGCTACACGATTTCCCTCCAGGCTTCTCCAATCGGTCTCATGCCCAGTGCTACCCAGGCCCAATTAGACTCCAGCCTGCTGGACGCTTCCTATCAGGTGCCTTTCTCCGCGTCCCCAGGAGATCTGATGCCCTTCAGCTTCCACGACCTTCACGCGGATCTTGTGTCATTTCCCAACATGGATGGACTGCCAGAATTGCCTTATACTTCCCAAAGAATCCCTGGTAGCAGTTCTCCAACAGACACTTTCTTGGAAGTGCGCTCTTTAACCAGCGCAAGCAGCGATAATGGCTGGACAGCCATCGAACATCGCCGCTCCCTCGACTCGCCCTATCATGAACAAGGCTTTTTTATCAATCCCAACCAGACTCTCCATAATAGAAGTTTGTCTGACTCGTCATATTCCGATTTGGATCCTCACAACCCGAGAAATTCCTTTGGTAGTTTTACGACAGATCTTTCGCACCCGATCATCAATTCGCCAAGTTCCGAATCGAACCTTGAGGCGGAGTATAACGCCATTGATCGTAGATTGTCATGTGACCAGGGCTCTCATACATCTTCTCCGGTTGCCGTGAGTCCCGTTGCAATCCTAAGGCCCATACCAGCCAAGGAAGCTTCATCTCCAACCCGATCTCCAACGTCACAGAAATCGTCTTCTCCACCAAGTAGAAAACCATCCCGCAAGAGTCCCATTGCTGCGAAGACCTCGGAGACTAAAGTGCGAAAACAGTCTCAATCTGGAAAACCCGAGACCGAGAAGCGCGTGGGAAAGCGAAAGGGTCCGCTTAAGCCTGACCAGCGGAAACAGGCCAGTGAGATACGTAAACTGCGGGCATGTCTGCGATGCAAGTTCCTCAAGAAGACGGTACGTTAATAGTATTAATAACCAAGAAGGCCCTTCCCTCCTTTCTTTCTTTCTTTCAGTTTTGTTTCAAACATCTAACATCGTGTATAGTGTGACAAAGGAGAGCCGTGTGCAGGATGTCAGCCATCGCACGCCAGGCTTTGGCAAGTTCCTTGTACTCGCATCGATATTAAAGAAATCGGCTACTTCACGAAGGACTGGAGGGCCGATTATGAACGTCACGTCACCCTAGGTTTCTCAGTGGGCAACATCAAAGGCTTTTCCGATGTCGAGCGAACGCTCTTCGTTACCCATGGATACGGCCATATCCTTCCCGTAACCGCTCGCGAAGTCTATGTTCGCGATGAGCAGTGTTTCAATATTGATTGGGTGGAGTCAATGCAGCGGGACCCTAACCATTTCGAGCTCGCTACCGCGAAACTGTCTGCTGGAATGGAAGGAATCACCCCTGCAATGCTTTCGGATTACCTTGACAGACACATTGATGGGAACGGTAGTTTCGAAAAATTCGTAGATGACTACTTTACGGGGACGCCATTCCTAACACAAATGCTCAAGAGTGCGTTCCGATATTATTTCCGAACAAAGCTTTCCGTCATCCGAAAGGCGCTAAAGCTTATTCTCGCATACAATCTCACGCTGCATGTTACGATGGTCGAGGGCCTAGGCGAGCTCGAGGAGTTTTCTGGTAAGGTTGAAGATGAAACTTCAAGATACAATGGGAAAGTCATGGCGCCCGTTATGATTAATTTCCAGATAAAGTGTGGCTTGGCTACGATTTGGCGCGACTTGCAAAAGGATGTGCTTGAGGAATTATCAGCTCTCTACTCCAGTGTTTACAGTGGTGACAAGCTAAAGAACTGGCCAACTATTTTCCTCCTCGCCTCTATCTTGCTTGCGGTGTGGGAGGAGATGCAGTTTGATTGTCACTATCGTGTTCCCGTAAGCCAAGTATTTCTTTTGTTGTATGTTTCCTTTGCTGACAAATGTTTAGGATGCTGCTGCTGTTGACAAATTCTGCACCGATATGGAAACCACCCCGGTTGGAGTGATCGTCGGTCTCTTCCAAGCAATCTCTCAGAAATTGCCCGCGTTCACCGAATGGGATTCCCACAAGCACCACCACCTCCTTGGCTCAAACGCCGATGTCTGTAATACAATGACAGAAGTTCGTCAGCATGTTACTCAATACGGTGAGTCTAATAAACAATCCATTTCTTTGTTTGGACCTTTATTATTTTTACCTCGCGAAAACACAAACTGACCAAACATAATACTATTCAGAGTCCTATCTTCGCGGACGCAGCAAATCTACCTTCGACCGGAACGACTTTGATTGTTTATCCAACAAATTTGTATCAAGACTCGTTATCCGATCGAACTAGAACCCGCGTATCTTTTGTTTAACCACACCCCTTTTTTTCTGATCAAGTATTTGATGATGTAATTTTTTTTTTTCTGTTTACATGTTCGCGGCCTTCACTCGACCATTCGACGACCCGAACCAAAGCGTGAAATATATAATTACGAATAACAGCAAACAATTGGCTATGACTGACATGAGAAAATATATACGTCCAACGAGACCAACGATCACACCACACATATTATGTTATAACGGCTCCACATGAAAGATTGGCAGGACCTTACGCTCGTTTTATTTTGCAGATGTTTCTATGTTTGTTTTGTTTATTTCCATATTGTCAAGCATATTTTTATTTTATTTTTATTTTATTTCATTATCTGTGAGATTACTTTTCTTATATGTTTTATGTGTTTTCAATGTTATCCGTTCTTCGAAGTGATATATACCTTGCTTTTGATAATTATTCTATACGATTTTACGT